CGGCTGCTCCCTGACACACTCGCTGGGAGCCTACAGCTTTGTGGTAACTCCATTAAAAAACATTAGTTTAAATATTTATGTAATTTTTATTTGGAAGGAGATTTTACAGAGAGGGAAAGAGATCTTTCATCTGCTGGTTCACCCCCTAAACTTCAAAAGCCAGAACTGGGCTGATCTGAAGCCAGGAGCCAGAAGCTTCTTGAAGGTCTGCCACGCGGCTGCACGGTCCTAAGGCTTTGGGCTGTCTCTGCTGCTTTCCCAGGCCACAAGCAGGGAGCTGGATGGGAAGTGGAGCTGCCAGGATTATGGGCCCGGCACAGTAGTGTAGTGGTTAAAGTCTTTGCCTTGCATGCCCAGGATCCCATATGGTCACCGGTTCTAATCCCGGCGACCCTGCTTCCCATCCACCTCCCTGCTTGTGCCCTGGAAAAGCAGTTGAAGATGGCCCAAAGCTTGGGACACTGTACCCGTGTGGGAGACCCAGAAGAGGCTCCTGGCTGCGGATTGGCTCAGCTCCAGCTGTTGTGGTCACTCGGGGAGTGAATCATCGGATGGAAGAACCAGTACCCATATGGGATGCCAGAGCTTGTAGTGGGATTAGCCTGACTTTCCAATACAAATAAAATAAAAGTCTTTTTTTAAAAAGTAGAGGGATTTGGAGACACTTTTAAGACTAACCCTTTTTTGACTTAGTGCGTGTGGTGTCGACATAGCACTTCTGGGGTGAGCTGCCTTACTCCCCCTCTGGGCTTCGTGCCTGGTGTGTAGGTTCGCGTGGGTCTGCTGCTCTGGCTTCCTGCTGCCTGTGAGGTCCCCCGCTTGGTCTCTGCCATCCCGGCCTCGTTGCTCACCCGCCATTCAGTCCAGCCTCCCTCATGCCCCAACATGTGACATTTGCTGTTCATTGCTGTGGGTATGGTGCTTGCTGCTAGAATGGTTTCTTTATTTTAAGATTCAATTTTTTTGAAGGACAGATTTACAACAGGGAAGGAGAGATTGCTCTTCCATCTGGTGGCTCACTGCTTTAATGTCTAGAGTCTGAAACCAGGAACCAGGGACTTCTCTGCCATCCCAGGCACAGCAGCAAGGGGCTGGATCAGCAGTCGAGCAGCCGGCATTGGAACTGGCGCTCACATGGGATGCCAGCATTGCAGGCGATGTCTTAACACACTACACCATAGCATTGGCCCATTGAGTCAGGAGTGCAGGGGCACAGGCTGCCCAGGCACCAACGCAGGTGCAGGAGCCCTAGGAGGCTGTGGGGGTGCAGGCAGGGTCCCTGGGAACTGCCCCCGGGAGAGGTGTGGCAGCGGAGATGGGAGGCTGGAGCAGGCCCCCTGCTGGCCCTGGGCATCAGCATTCCTGCTCCATGTTCTTGCTGTGGAAGCCTGCGTGCTTGGGGTTGAGGCCTGTCTCTGCTTCCTGTCCGGCTTCCTGTCTAGCTTCCAGCTGAGGCACCCCTGGGAGGCAGGGACTGCAGCCAGGGGACTGGGGACCGGCCCTCACGGGAAACCCAAACTGTTCCAGGGACCTGAGTCAGTGCAGTCGTATTTCCAATGTAAGTTGAAGGCGGCATGAGGGACTCCCCGCCTCTCCAAGCCAGACCTCCATGAGCAGACGGCACTCTCGGTGTCATTGCCACCGTCCATCCGTGGCCCCCTCAACACCTGCTGCCGCCCCCTCCTACTTCCTGTTCCTGTGGGGTTGGCCACTCTGGGTGTCTCCTGTAAGAGAGTGACTGCTTTACTCCCTTAGCGTAGCGTCCTCGGGCTAGCACGGGCCCCATCCCCTGGGCTGCTGAGCTGAGTCACAGGACACCATCCGTCCAGGCCACAGCCACCAACGGACACTTGGGGTGCCGGCTGCTCTGACCATGGTGCGCATGTGCCGGTGGGCACCAGGACCCGTTCCTGACGTCCTCACAGACGCCTGTCACTGTTTTTATTGGAAAGTCAGATTTACAGAGAGAAGGAGAAACAGGTCTTCAATTCATGGGTTCACTCCCCAAGCGGCTGCAGTGACGAGCTGAGCTGATTTGAAGCCAGGAGTCAGGAGTCCCTTCTGTGTCTCCCATGTGGGTACAGGGTCCCAAAGCCTTGGGCCGTCCTCAACTGCTTCCCCAGGCCACAAGCGGGGAGCTGGAAGGGAAGTGGAGCAGCCAGGACATGAACTTGTGCCCATGTGGGATCCCAGGCATGCAAGGTGAAGACTTTAGCCACTAGGCTACCACACTAGACCCACCTGTCACTTCTTCCAAACCTGGTTGGATTGAGGGAGGAGCCGCCCAGGAACAGGGGTGCAGTGGCTGAGCTGTGCTCCCCGGGCGTCTGTGTGTCAAGCCTTGCCCGCACCTGTTGACCACTGGTGGAGAAGTGGCTCTCCTGGTCCTCTGTCCATTGCTCAGTCAGGTTGTTGGGTGTCCCGGGGGCGGGGGGGCGGGCGTTGCCTCCGTATCCCGGAAGCCGCGGCTTGCTCAGAAATGCAGGGAGAGGGGCTTTCTCCCCCCGTGAGCTCTTCCGTGGCCGGGGAAGTCCAGGAGTGTTCCCACTCACAAGGTTCATTTTTTTCTGAATTTTTTTCCTTTGTTGTGTGAGTGTCACTACCCCTTGTTGGCTGCTGCTTTTTTTCTTCTAAAGATTTTAAAATTTTTATTGGAAAGTCAGATGTGCAGAAGGGAAGATCTTCTGTTCATTGATTCTTTTTTTTTTTTTCCAAATTTTTTTATTTTGACAATCTTTACATAGTTAATTTGGGTAAAAAGGGTCAAGGGCTACAGGAAAGTGGGTAAGACTGTTATTTCCACATTGTTTCCTTCATGTGTCTGAGGTACAGGGGGATATTGAGGGAGAAGCCCCACCCGGTTTCCCACCCACCCCAAGTCCCGCATGTGGGGCGCGCTCCGAGATACCCGCTCCAGTGGTTGCGGTAGGTCACCAGTTATGAATCGCTGCCAATCTCGCCTCTCCAAACACGATGAGGTTGTTGAAAAATCCACTGACTGACGTTGTCCGTCACAGCGTCTCTATTTGCCCGGTATCTTGTTGCCAACCTAGAGCTGAGGTGGTTGATTAACTTGTTCCATCTTCTGTCCTTTCATGGTTAGGGTTCTGAGTCTGGCAGTTGGGTTGGGGAGATCGCCAAAGGAACTTTGAGGTGTTCCCAGGCCAGATCCTTGCATGCACCAGCAAGCACAGGGCCCGGCTCAGTCCATCGCCCGGTCAGCTGCTGGCTGCAATCGCTGGGTTGGTTCTGTTTTCAGCCCCGGCTTCCACTGGAACCAATGGGTGTTGCAGTCCAGCCTGGTTCTGCCCAGCGCACACTCGGTCCTCACATAAACCAGTGGGTGTCCACTGATTCTTGCCCCAAGGGGCCACAACAGCCGGAGCTGAGCTGATCCCAGCCAGGAGCCAGAAGTCTCCTCCGGGTCTCCCACATAGGTTCAGGTCCCAAGGCTTTGGGCCGTCCTCAACTGCCTTCCCAGGCCACAAGCAGGGAGCTGGATGGAAGTGGAGCTGCCAGGACATGAACCAGTGCCTGTATGGGATTCTGGAGCGTGCAAGGTTGGCATTTAGCCACTAGGCTACTACTCTGGGCCCCTCATTGTTGGCTTCTAAGAGCCTTTTAGTTTGTGTTTTTATTCTTTCAGGCTTTTTTATCTGGAGGTCAGAGTAGGAGACAGAGATCTTCCATCCCCTGTTCACCCTCTAATTGACCACAGCACCCAGGACTGGGCCAGACCAAAGCCAGGAGTTCCATCCGGGTCTCCCACGTGGTGCAGGAGCCCAGGCTTGGGTCATCCTCTGCTTTCCCGGGCACATTAGCATGGTAGCTGTTAGAGAAGTGGAACCCGCAGGACCGCAGTGGCATTCGGATGGGATTGCCAGTTCCCGGGTCAGGGAAGGATTGGCTCTGCCACCAGCTCCTAGGTGCAGTTCTTACATTTACTTCTAGGCTCCACTTTGAGTTCATTGTTACAGACAATACCGGGAAAAGGGTCCAGTCTGATTCTTCAGCAGGTGGATGTGTGTCAGCCCAGGGCCCTGCAGCGAAAGGCCAGTCTTCCCATCGTGCTTGGAGTGGCGAGACTGGCAGCGATTCCTAACTGGTGAACTCTCAAAACCATTTGAGCAAGAACCTCGGAGCGTGCCCCACATCCGGGACCGGGGGAGGGTGGGAAACTGGGTGGGCCTTCTCCCTTAATACCTCCCTTTATTTATTTATTTTTTAAAGATTTATTGATTTGAAAGTCAGATATACAGAGAGGAAGATCTTCCCTCTGATGATTCACTCCCCAAGTGAGCGCTGGCCGATGCTATGCCGGTCCGAAGCCAGGATCCAGGAGCTTCTTCGGGGTCTCCCACACGGGTGCAGGGTCCCAAAGCTTTGGGCCGTCCTCGACTGCTTTCCCAGGCCACAAGCAGGGAGCTGGATGGGAAGTGGAGCTGCTGGGATTAGAACCAGCACCCATATGGGATCCCAGGGCGTTCAAGGTGAGGACTTTAGCCACTAGGCCACGCCGCGGGGCCCAATACATCAAGGAAACAATATGGAAATAATAGTCTTACCCACTTTCCTATAGCCCTTGAACCTTTTTACCCTAATTAACTATGTAAAGATTGTCAAAAATATAATTTTTTTAAAAAGGGAAAAAAAGAAAAGGCCAGTCTTTCCCCGTGGAATGTTCAGGAACCCTTGTTGAAGAACAGGCTGTATGTGAGGTCTTTCTGTACTGACTCACCATTTTAAAAACACTTGGAAGACAGGAGGGCTCTGCAGGTTCACTCTATGGGTGCCGGTGCCGCTAAGGGTCCCTAGCCAGGCTAACGGCAAAAACAGGAACTCAGCCAAGTGTCCCGTACACGTGACAAGGACTCGGACTTGAGGACCGCCCTTCTGCGTTGGCAGAAGCTGGTCAGGCTGCCGCCGCCGGGCATGCCGGGATGCCTGTAACCTGCAAGTGAGGCTACCAGTCCTTTCCTCTGTGCCATTCTTCCGAACAGGTGACCCCAAAGTGCGCGCTGGGCTCTGTCCTGTGGCAGTCACAGCTGTGTGTGGTCTGTCGCCAGGGAGTGGCATTCTCGTCTGGTCTCTGCGGTGTGGACGGCTCCACGCGCCTTCCCGGACGACGGCTCTCGCGTGCATCCTCCAGTGTTTGTTTTGCCAGAAACCCCAGCAGAGCCACAGCTCGTCCAGCGCCGGCCCTGAGCTGAGCGCGGCAGAGATGGTGAAAATGACCAAATCCAAAACATTCCAGGCCTACCTGCCCACCTGCCACCGCACCTACAGCTGCATCCACTGCAGGGCCCACCTGGCCAACCACGACGAGCTCATCTCCAAGGCAAGTGAGCGGTGCACCGGCAAATGCCAGTGGCTGCCGCCAGGCGGCGCAGTGTGGACGCCCACTGAACCTGCTGCGTCCCGGGGCAGAGGACAAGATGGCAAGGGGCCGCCCAGGAGGGTCTGCAGCTGCCCTGGGGGACAGGAATGCCAGCTCCCACCAAGGCTTCCTGTCCCCACGGGTCACGACTGCCCTGCCTGGCAGCCCATGCTGTGACCTCACCACCTGCTGCTTGGGAGCAGATTATGGCAGGAAGCTGGGCTGTGCAGGACGCTCAGGTTGGGCAGCCTCCCTCTCCTGGGACTGGGGACTGCAGAGCTCAGGGGCAGGAAACGACCAGGCTTGCCTTGGTGCAGAACCCTTGGAAATCCATGTGTGACGTCTTCATAAGATGTACTTTCCATGAACCCTTTGAAGACGCACGTGTGGATCTCAGTAACTTTTTTGGAACCAAAATTGTTTTATTCTCTCTTCCCTGGAGCCTCTCACATGCCCTCCTGTTTGCACTGGGAGGCCCGGAGGCCCCCAGGAGCTGGCGCTGGATTGTGGTGCAGCAGGTAGGCCCTCGCCTGCAGTGCCAGCACCCCGCGTCCTGGCTGGGATACTCCCCAGTCCAGCAGAGGATGGTCCAAGTGCTTGGAGGACCAGGAGGAAGTTCCTGCCTTCAGCCTGGCCCAGCCATTTGGAGTGAACCAGCTGATGGGAAGATCTCTGTGTGTGACTCTTTTAAATAAATAAATCTTTAAAAATGATAATACCCGAGGTGGGGCCAGGCTTAACTGGCAGCCTGGGTGTCTCACAGGTAGTGGGGAAGCAGTAGGAGCCCTGCCCTGGCACCCCTGCCCACCCTCAGCAGACGGGGGGGACTGCTAGGCTGTGGCTCCTTCCCTTGCCCTGCGATGTGCGGGGTCTCCCTCCCCGGGGACAGAGGGGCAGCCCATCACTGGGGAGACGGGTGGAGGCCTGAGGGCAGGCCCTGACCCCGCGCTGTGGCTTCAGTCCTTCCAGGGCAGCCAGGGACGTGCCTACCTCTTCAACTCCGTGTGAGTACACAGCTCACTGAGGGAGCTGTCAGCCCCGGGGAGGTGGGGCTGGGGGACTCCTGGGGTGAACCTCCCCTGCAGGGGCGGGCCTCAGGTGCACCCCACACTGTCCCCACAGGGTGAACGTGGGCTGCGGCCCTGCCGAGGAGAGGGTCCTGTTGACGGGGCTGCACGCCGTGGCCGACATCTACTGCGAGAACTGCAAGACCACGCTGGGCTGGAAATACGTGAGTGCCCGCGGGCCCCGGGCGCGCCTCCTGCCGGGGCCACGGCTCTGGCCTCTCGGGAAGCTGGGTGGGCAGGGGAGTAGATGCAGCCCCCCCGCACACCGCAGCCCCTCCCGGGACCTGAGTCGGAGGTGGCCACACCTTGAGGCGGCTCCAGGGGCACCTCCCCAACAGAGGCCCGTGCCGTCCCCTCCCCATGCCGGGTCTCCAGGCCCTCGTGCCTGCTGTACTCTTGGGCAGGCACTCGCCACTTTCTGCTGGGCCTGCTGCCCTGTGTCCCCTGGCACCAGGCCACATGCTCGACAGGAGACATGAGGGGCCCTGCCAGCGCTCATGCCTCCGTTTATCTTCACTGTCCCACCTTGTGGGTTCCCTGAAGGGCAGGGGTTGCACGGGCCTTTCCATGCCCCCTCAGTGGCCTGTACACCGCAGGTGCCCTGTGAGCACTCGGCACCCACGCCCACCTCCTGCCCCCTGCCCTGCCCGCAGGAGCACGCCTTCGAGAGCAGCCAGAAGTACAAGGAAGGCAAGTTCATCATCGAGCTGGCTCACATGATCAAAGACAACGGGTGGGAGTGAGGGGCCCGTGTCCCTTGTGCTTTTTTGTGAACAAGATCGTGAATGTAATGGAAACATGGAGCACCCTGGGTGACGGCAGTTCTTGAACTTGACCCCGGCAGGCTGGCCTGGCTCAGCCCGTGGCGCTGGAGGGCCATGGTGGTTGTCTGGGTAAGGTGCCCCCTGATCCACGTCCCCTCCCGCATGTGACTGTTTCAGAAAATCTCCAGCAACCCTGTTCGAACTGTCCCGTTCTCAGGGCACCTGCTGAGGCTGCCAGCCGAGTTCCTGCCTCCTGCAGCGCAGCCACCCTGGGGTCTCCAGGCCGCGGGGCCGGAGCTCCTCAAGGACCTGCCTTCTGGGAGAGGAAATTGTTGTAGCCCTCCTCCCCGTCATTCACAAAACTAGGAATGGGTTTTTCCTCTCAGATAAGTTTGAGGCACAGCGGTCGGCTAAGACTCTTCCAGCCAACCCATTCTGCACACCCAGAATAGGTTTCTGGTTTCGTTTTTAAGCTGTCTCCCAAAAGGACAGTGAAACCACCTCAGAGAAGCCAGACAGATCCGTGTGTTCAATGGGAAACCGTAGGTTTAAGGGGACAGGTTCCTTATCTAGGTCTGCCCCAGGGAGCGGGGGCCTGGGCAGTCAGGGAGGCAGGTCCTATGGCTAGGGGAGCACCCCAACCTGGGGCTCAGCAGGCCATCAGGTTCAGAAGGCGCTGCTTCCACGTTGGGGGAGAGGCCGGTGCCGAAGCCTGAGGTGCACAGAGGTTTGAGGGAAGGGATCTGGCAGGTGTCTGGTTCGTGGGGTGGCCACCCTCCCCACCTGGGCCTGTCCAGAATGCTCAAGAGGGCCCTGCGGGCAGGGGCAGGACGGAAGGGCCAGCTCGCAGAAGGTAGAGCCGGCACCCCAGGGGAGCTGTGGTTTGCACCATTCTGTAACAGGCCTAGAGAAGGCCTGGGCGCGGTCAGAGAGGCAGTCCGGCTTCCCTCTGCACAGTCAGCTGGGTAAGAACTTGGCTTCCAGCTCAGCCTAAGGTCGCCTCCCCTCTCCCGTGCAGGTGCTGGGCAGCCTGGCAGGAGAGAGCCTTGGGGGGCCCTCTCCGCCTCAGGTGGGCCCCTGGCCCAGCAGGGAGGGGGTGACGTCGCACTGGAGAGGGGGACAGATCACTGACTAGCATCTTCATCTTAGCCTGAGGCAGGTGGGCTCGACAGCCTGGGAGGCCCCGCGGGTCCCTGAGGCTTCCAGTGGGACCTGAGGTGTCCTGCGTGATGGGCACGGAGTTGGCCCTAACTGGGCAGCCAGTATCAGTGGCTGAACCTCAGCAAGACCTTGGCCGCGTGGCTCGCCCCCTCCCTCTCGTGGAAGTTGAAATCTCAAGTCCTCCTGAGCGACTTCGTCTACACTGAAACTGCATCTGAAGCCTTTCTAGGTTCCGGGCGAGCTCACTGCCCTTCGTGTTGAGCACTTTGCTTTGGTGCTGTCGGCTGCGATGGCGCCGCACGGACAGACTGGCTTTGTACGCGTGTTTTTGTAATGGAGACCAACACAACTTTTTATCTATGTTTCTGGTTTGGTCTGTGAAACACAAGGTCCTTTTTAAGCCAAATGAAGTGACTGGCCTCGGGCAGCGCCCGCCCCCAACCAGGCAGCTGTGCGGGGCAGCCTGCCTGCTCGGCTCAGTAAATGCACTGCATGACATTCATTCATTTGTTTTTTCCTTGGGGTGAGGGGAGGTGACCCCAGGATTTCTAGGTGCATTGAACCTGGTTGTTGCTCTGTCGCTGCTTCTCTGTCCACACAGTATTTCATACCTGATGCTACCTGGCAGACCAGAGATGACAATCTTTGCAAAAAGTCCTTTAATTATCAGGGAACTACAAAATTCAGGTGGTCTCTGTATCTGGAACAAGCACTGAGCTCCAAGGCAAGCACGGAGGCAGACATGCCCGTGGGGCAGGCCTGGTGCCCACTGTGGGCCCAGCCTGTGACCGCCTGCGGGCCGGGTCAGGGCCGCCACTGCCACCTGCCTGGGGTCCCAGCAGCAGGACAGGAGCAGCGAGCACCAAGGCCAGGTCAGGGGTGAAGGTGGAGGAGTGGGCATGTCTAAAGGCACTTGGTGGAGGGAGCCTCTGTACTGGGCTGCTGGGGGGCTCAGGAGAGGGGACCCGCGTGGGCACATTTGACCAATGGGTATCGCTGGGGTGGGAGCCGCTCTCCATCTCTCCCCACGCAGGAGCAGTGGTGGTCTTGGGGGAGGGACAGACAAGGGCGCTCCGGGACCATGGTGGGTCCAGGTGATCAGGCCCCCGGGAGGGCAGAGTTCGGGCTCTGGCTGGACCAGCCTCGGAAGTTAGGCTACCATGGGGAGCGCTCTTTCTGGGGGCACAGCCCGGACCCCGCATTCCTACTGGGATCTGAGCAGCGGCCAGCACTACCAGGAGCTGAAGTCCCCAAAGCCCCGGCCAGGCTTCCTCTTGGCTGCTGGGGCCGCGGTGCTGGTGGACGGCTCCTCAGCCGCACGCTTCCTGCAGGGAGGACACGTGAGCCCAGCCCCCTGCACGTCGCCCACCCCCTCAGGGCCGCCCCCCACTCCTGCCTTACTCACGTGGCGGCTGGGTTGATGTACTTGCCCACCCCCTGGCGGTATGTCTGGGGGCCCTGGCTCCCGGGCTGAGACTGCGGGGTCTTGGCTTTGGCTTCAGGTTCCTCCTCCAGCTGTGTCTTCTTGCGCTCCTCAGCTATCTGTGGAGGAGCAGGCCCAGAGCTGACCCAGAGCCTGGGGGCCTGTCCCTGCAAGGTGAGGAAAGTCCCGCGCCCTCCTCACCTGGGCGTCGGCCTCCTCGTAGGGGTCCACGAACACAGTGGTGGCCTCGATGCGAATGTCCGTCTGTAGCAGAGAGCAGCCGGGTCAGCGATGGCAGGCTCGCCACTTCTGCCAGTGCTCTACCCTGCCACGGCCACAGCTGCCCCCCACAAGAGGCATACCTTGGGGCGGTCAGTTTTGGGGTCACTCTCCACGTTCTCCATGGCTGTCAGTGTGTCGAAGCCCCCAACCACCCTACGGCAAAGAGGAAGTGATGTGTATCCAGGGCAGGGTGCCCTGCCAGCCAGACCCCAAGCCCAACCAGCAAGGGGGCTGCAAGGCACGCCATGCAGGTGCCACTGGCTCAGGCCAGCATGGGCCAGTCAGCAGACCAGATGGGCGCGTGGCCTGGGCACAGCACCCACTGGGGAGGCCACACCACTGCCTGCAGCTTCCTGCTACAGGTGCAGCTCAGTGCCAGTTCCCCCTCAAGCTGTCAGGGTCAGCAAGCAGTTCCTGTAAAGCCAGGAACTCCTAACTCCACTCACACCCCAGGCACCTGCCCATGCTGCTCACCGTCCAAAGATGGTGTGCTTCTTGTCCAGGTAAGCACAGGAGCGGAAGGTGATGAAGCTGTGGGGAGAACGAGAGCGTGGGGGCTGTACACAGGGCCCGCCAGTGCAGCCTGCAGCTGCGTGTGCAATATGGGAGCGCACGTGTGTGTGCGGGGGGCGGGCCTAGAGGGTCCAGCCACACCAGCCCTGCATGGCTGCCTTGGGGAGGGCTGCAAGCGGAAGCCCACGACCACCCAGGGCTCCAAAACGGGAGGCAGGGGGCAGCAAGGCCGGGCAGGCTGGTGTGCAAGGGCTGGCGCACAAGAAGGAAAGCCTCTGCCCTCCAGGGACACACAGGGGCTAGAGGGCAGGAAGCACACCGGGCTGTGGGCGACCGAGTGTCTAGCCTCTGGCGCTCACAGACCCCACACTGCGCTGTGTGCAACATGGCCACCACTACCTTGGGCAGGAAGGGGCATCTCCAGGTGTCAGGAGCCCCCAGCCCCACTTCTCTGCCTTCTAAATCAATCCACTTAGACAAACCCAGCAAAGAGCAGAGCACCTTCAGGATCTGACGGGGTGAAGGTGACAGTGCCACAGCGAGTTAGGCCACTGCCTAGAACCTGGAGTCCCATATCGGCATCAGTTTAAGTCCTGGCTAATACACCTGGCAGGACGGCCCAAGTGCTCGAGTCTCTGCACTCATGTGGGAGACTGTGAAAACCGCCTGGCTTCGGCCTGGCCTTGGCAGCAAGCCGATCCAAAGCCAGGATCCAGGAGCTTCTTCTGGGTCTCCCACACAGGTGCAGGGTCCCAAGGCTTTGGGCCGTCCTCCACTGCTTTCCCAGGCCACAGGCAGGGAGCTGGATGGGAAGTGGAGTTGCCGGGATTAGAACCGGCGCCCATATGGGATCCCGGGCTTTCAAGGCGAGGACTTAAGCCGCTAGGCCACGCCGCCGGGCCTTCTACTAGCTCTTCCAAATGAGACTCTTAAAACCACAAATTCTGAATGAGTAGTTCTATATAGGGAGAAAAAAAATCATTGCAGGGAAAAGGACACCAACAGAGGAACAGCCAGGCCAGCTGCAGCCCACGAACACACGGAGGACGTCTGCCCTCTCCGGGGAGCACCCGGTGCCCTGGCATGCGCTCCTGCCGGCACCGACTCCTCCCAGTGCCCTTGCTGGGCCGCCCGTGCATCACTGCCTGCCCCTGGCTACGCAGGCTCCCTTCCGGACACCCAGGGCGCTGGGAGTACCTCAGGCCGGGGAGGGGAGGTGTCCCATGTACTCACAACTGGGACTTGTTGCTGTTGGGCCCCGAGTTGGCCATGCTGAGGACTCCACGGCCCGTGTGCGAGAGGTTGGGCCGGAACTCGTCCTTGAAGGGCTTCCCCCAGTATGACTCTCCACCTAGGGAAGTTAAGGGGTGGTGGGCAGCGGAGAGCACCCCAGCCCTGAGGCGCCCTGCCTGCCACACAGGCAGAAGCTGCTTCCCCAGGTCAAGGCCACAGGTCCCTGTTCCTGCTTCGGGCTTGCAGCTCCCTGTAGGCAGGGCCCACCGGACAGCCGCAGACCTCCAGACCCCGGGGGCGTGCCTGACTCCCCATCCCACCCCAGCGCCTACCTGTGCCTGTGCCAGTGGGGTCGCCCCCTTGGATCTGCAAGAACAAAGGCCTGTGAGTGGCCGAGGGGGCCGCTGTGCGGACCCTGCTCCCAGGGGTCTGCAGGTGCCCGCAGCCCCTCCCCGGCTGGCACACTCACCACAAAGTTGCGGATGGACCTGTGGAAGATGGTGCCGTCGTAGTACTGTTTCTTGCACAGCTTGATGAAGTTCTCACAGGTCTTCGGTGTCTGTGAAGGAACCCGGGTGTCACACAGCACGCCCACAGGGGTCACGCGGGCCTGGGTCCCCACAGCCCCCGGCGGCCGCGCACCAGGTCGCAGTGCAGCTCGAGGTTGAGGTCGCCCTTGTTGGTGTGCAGCCGCACGTAGCCCTTCTTCTTCACGAACTGGTAGCGCAGCACGTCGTCCTCGATGGCGGCTGGGGGTAGAGGCCTCAGCTCCGGACCCGCTCTCCATCTGGGCGGCCACCAACCCCCACGGCCCCCAACATCGGACTGGGCATGCCAGAGCAGGACCCCAGCTCTGCAGAACCCGTGGGAGCCCGAAGCCAAGGCAGGCAGGTCCCCTGGGCCCTGCAGGACACACGGGGTAGAGCCCAAGGCCAGTGAGCGTAGGTTTGCCTGGGCCCTAGGATGTGACTGGGGGGCGGGACCAGCCTGGCGCCCCCTGCAGCACCCTCCACCCCACACAAAGCCATGCAGTGACACTGAGGAAGGCGGCTGATGCCAAGGTGCCCTTTGGGGGCCCTACCTGCTTCGTGTGTTGTCTCAGGAATCATGGCGGTGGAGGTGAAGGACGCGCTGACCTTGCCCGTAGAGTAGTGGGCCTGCCAACAAAGCCACGCTGCTCAGGCCCAGCAGTGGGGCCCAGCAGGCACAGGGACAGTTTCCTGCCTGTGGCCTGGCGGGTAGAGCCACTGACTTGGGCCTCAAGTGGAGGTGGGTAGCCAGGATCAATCACCACCTCTACACCCCCTGTACCAGGCCTGGCCCCAAGAGGCCACTGCCCAACCCTCCGCAGACCCCCCAGCATGCACGGGGCTCCCGGCATGGATGCCATGCGCCCCTCTTGCCTCCCTTAGGGGGCAGGCCTGATGAGCAGGCATTCAAGGCTCCGGGATTGGGGGACAGCAGTCTGGGTGTCCCGGCTGCCTCCCCCTGTCACCCACGGGGCCCCACTGGGCGAGGCGGGGCCCACTCACAGCGTTCAGCTTGTCCACTTTCTTCTTCTCGGGCACTTTCATGGTGGCCGCCAGGACCTCGTCGCCCTTGAACTCCTTGTAGAGCTCCTGCAGGGTCTCCCGGGTCTCGGCGTTGGTGTTCTTCAGGTAGTAGCAGGGGTCCTGGCGTGCCTTCTCCTCGTCTGCAGGTAGAAGTGGGCCCGGGGCTGAGGGGGCAGCCCCCCACGGCCGGCTCCGGGAAAGGCACACCCTGCGACCTCACCGAGTGTCCCCCATGACCCCGCAGCACCACTGGCTGGCGTGGGGGCTGCACTGCACGTCACACGACTGCTCTGGTGTGTGCTCAGAGGACAGCTCACCCTGGGGTCAGAGGTCACGGCAGCCCTGGCTCTTGCCCACGCTACTGCAACCCATGTCCGTAGCCTCGTGGTGCCGCATGGCCACAGCCACCGTCAGCTCGGATTCACAGATCACCCACAGCACAGGCCAATGCGGGGCCTCCCTCTGCTCAGTGAACCCTGGTCCTTCTCTGCCCGCCACCACCCTCACACCAGCCCCTACTGGGACATACCTGGATCCACTATTTTTATGTTATTCTTGACATGAAAGAAATTGGAGACATTGAACTTGTCCAGATTGGTGGGGTCCTACGGCAGACAGAATGCTCGACTCAGGACTGGGGCTGGGAAACAGGACGGGTGGTAACAGGAGGATCCAGCAAGCTGCTCCCCAAACCCTGTCCCCCCCACTCTGGGACGTGCAGCTGAGGAGCACCCCCACTGCGCATGCGGCCAGGGGTGGCCGGCGCATACGTGACAGTCATGGAGCTGACGTCAGAACAGAAGCCAGAGAGGGCCCGGCAGCTGTGCAGGCTGCCCAGAGATCTCACACCTGCTGGCTCGCTCTCCACATGACTGCAAAAGCCTGAGCTGGGCCAGCCTGAAGCTGGGAGCCAGAAGCTCCACTCAGGTCTCCCACAGGGGTAGCCGGGACCTGAACTGGACAGCCCCTGCTGCCCCCGCCAGGTGCACTTGGCAGCAGGCTGGAGCGGAAGGCGGAGCCAGGCCTTGAACCAGACACTGCAAGCCCATCTGTGGGTATCCTGGGCAGCGTGTTAACCACGGTGCCAGGCACCAGCAGTGTGGTACCTAAACTGGTAACCTCCTGTGACTCCCAGAGATGGGTCCTTGATGCAGGGCGAGGCACCAATGCCACGGAGAGGCAGACTGAGCGAGTGGGGTGGGGGGGCAGTGAGGGCAGGAGAGCTGGGGCACGCAGCCCGGCCCGGGGACGGGGAACCCACCTGCAGGGTGATGATGTCCTGCCGGGAGAAGGGCTCATCGGTCAGCAGGTCCCGGAAGTTCTTGGCTTTGATGTTTAGCTGTTCCACAGCCTACAGGAGGGAGCTGGGGTCACCGTGGCTGCCCCGGCTCTGGCCTGACAGCATGCAGGGGCAAAGGCCTGTCACCTGCTGAACCCCAGCACCACCTGGACAGGAGCTGACCCGGGACCACGGGGTAGGGCACGCATTGTGTCGGGGGTGGGGGAGCAGTTGCTGAGCCCCAGGCAGTGAGCAGAACCCAGGCCACCGCACCCCGCGGGGCACTTCACGGAGCAGGCAGCAGGCTCAGGGAGGCAGCCTGCCCCGTATGTCTCCGTTCTGTAGCAGGTCAGGGGTGCACTGAGCGTACCCCGGGGCCGGTCCTGGACCAACTCAGCCCGTGCCAGCCCTGGCACTCCCTGCAGTGGACAGCACCTAGCCTAGCCTGCTCCCTTCACAGCCCTGAGGGCTGTCCTCAGAGGCAAGCCCCCTCCCCAGGGCCTGGCTGCTCCTGGGGTCCTGCCCCCACCCCCAGCTCCCTCCTAAGCCACTGCACCCCGTGCTCCTCGGCAAGGACCCACCTCATAGGCGTAGACGTTGCCGGTGGTCCTGACGGCCACGATGTGGGTGTTATTGGTGAACACGGTGAACAGCACGGGGCAGTGGTACTTCCCTGGGGCACAGGTATAAGCCAGAGTGGGGGGGGGGGCACCCATCACTGCCCTGGCCTCAGAAAAGGAAGGGCACAGAACCCAGAGTGGACAGCCAGGGCGACAGCAGATGCCAGGCTGTCCATGTCCCCTACTCCTGCGGTGCCCAGCTTCTGTTCTGCCCTCAGAGAAACAGGCTCTCACTGCCCCAGCCCCCATGGCGCACGCCAGCACACCCCCAGCCTCCCTGCCACCCACCTGCCTGCCTCCATGCCAGGCTCACTACAGCCAACGAGCCTCAGTCTCCCAGCCAAGCAAACCAAAACAGATACACAGGAAAGGACACCTCAGAGGCGGGGGGGGGGGGGGGGTTCAGAAATTGAGAGATTTAGGACACAGGTCATGGGCACTGGCTGGGCCTAGCAAGGATCCCATATGGGCGCTGGTTCGTGCCCTTGCTGCTCCACTTTGGTCCAGCTCCCTGATCATGGCCTGGGAAAGCAGCGGAGGATGGCTCAAGCACTTAGGCCGCAGCACGCATGTGAGAGACCCAGAAGCTCCTGGCTTCGGACCCAGCTCTGGCTGCTGTGACCATGTGGGGAATGAACCAGTAAATGGAAGGCATCTCTCTCCCTTTGCCTTTTAAATAGAATAATAATAAAATAAATCTTGGGCCCGGCGCGATGGCGCAGTGGTTAAGGTCCTCGCCTTGCACACCCGGGATCCCATATGGGCGCCGGTTCTAATCCCAGCAGCTCCACTTCCCTTCCAGCTCCTTGCCTGTGGCCTGGGAAAGCAGTCAAGGACGGCCCAAAGCTTTGGACCCTGCACCCGTTTGGGAGACCCGGAAGAGGTTCCCGGCTTCTGATCGGTACAGCACCAGCCTTTGTGGTCACTTGGGAAATGAATCATCAGATGGAAGATCTTCCTCTCTGTCTCTCCTACTCTCTGTATATCTGACTTTGTAATAAAAATAAGTAAATCTTTAAAGATAATAAAATAAATCTAAAAAAAAAAAACACCACTACTTTGACCCCTCAGGAATCCTCGGACATTAAACACAGCAGCTCAGCCCCATCAGAAGGAAGGCCTGGGCATTAGGACCCTGGGGTTGCACAGCCATTTCTGGAGGTGGGGCCGAACAGAACACTCACCCTCGCTGTTCTTAGTGAAGTTGAGCTTGACCAGGGAGCGCCCGTCAAGTTTCTGGAAGATACCCAAGAAATAGGACAACTGGGGGAGGGGTGTGGATACACACAGAAGGGGCGCGGGGCAGCCCAAATCTGAGGGCTGGGAGGCCGAGAGGGGCCCCGGCAAGGCGTGCATACTGAGGGCTGCTGGACACGCCAAGCCCGGCTCCTCAGGGGCAACTGCAGGCTGCGGGACCAGGCCACAGGCCAGGCTGGTCGTGAACTACAAGGACGTTGAACCACCACTGAAGGTCACCACCGGCTGCTTTCCAGAAGCTAACCTGGGGGGAGGGGGACCACAAGATGACTGCTTGTCACTCGACAGAATTACTGACAACGAACAAAATACCACGAGGGGCAGAGAACAGAGAAAGCAGGAACGCCCGCAGGTCCCGCATCCCCACACCCCACCAGCATCACATAAGGAGGATGGCACCACATGGTGTAAAGGATGTCCCTACTGCCCACAGTGCCAGTATCCCATATGGATGCTGGTTTGTGTCCCAGCTGCTCCACTTCCCAGCTAGCTCCCTGCTGATGAGCTGAGAAAGCAGGGGAGGACGGCTCAAAGCCCTGGGACCCTGCACACACATGGGAGACCTAGAAGCAGCTCGTGCTCTGGGCTGCAGATCAGATCAGCTCCGGCCATGGAGGCCATTTGGGAAGTAAACTAGACACAAATCTTTCTCTTTACCTCTCCTCTCTGAAAGTCCATCTTGCAAATAAAAATAAATGTAAGGGTTCGGCAAGGTAGCCTAGTGGCTAAAGTTCTCGCCTTGCACTCACTGGGATCCCATATGGGTGCCGTTTCATATCCCAGCTGCTCCACTTCCCATCCAGCTCCCTGCCTGTGGCCTGGGAAAGCAGCAGAGGATGGCCCAAAGCCTTGGGACCATGCACCTGTGTGGAAGACCCAGAAGAGGTTCCAGGCTCCTGGCTTCAGATCGGCACAGCTCCAGCCATTATGGCCATTTAGGGAGTGAACTAGCAGATGGAAGATCTTTCTCTCTCCTTCTTTGTAAATATAACCAATAAAAATAAGCAAATCTTTAAATATTATTTTTCAAAAACCTTTTTAAAAAGGCTTGTACTGAACATATAGATTTTTTTCCTGTCATTATTTCCTCAACCATTCAGTATAACTTTACAACATTTAGAACACAGCAAGGCTCATTGATAACATACAGGTAATTTTTTCTAAAGATTGACTAGTTTATCTGAAAGGCAGAGTTACACAGAGAGCGAGCGTCCGTCGGCTGGTTCATCTCCCAGGTGGTGACAACGTGCAGGCTGGGCCAGCCGGAAGCCTAACACCAAAGCTTCTTGCGGGTCTCCCACATGGCTGCGAAGGTCCAAGCACCGAGGCCGCCTTCTGCAGGGAGCTGACAGGAAAGCAGAGCAGCCAGCGGTGCCCATATGCAAGCCAGCACTGCAGACGGCAGGTTCACCAGCTACACTACAGCACCAGTGCAGGTGGTGAAAAGGGCACGACAAAGCAGCCGAGACGCACCAGCAGCCGTCCCCGACAGGTGACAGCAAGGAATCAGGCATGAGTCCGGTGACTGGTTCTGGTCCCCAAGGGTCAGGCCGTTCAGACACAGGTTACACCCACGTCCCATCCCAGGGTCTCTGGCTCCGCACTCCAGCTTCCTGCTAACACAGAGCCTGGGAGGCAGAGGTAAGGGTGCCAGCATTAGGGCCCCACACCTGGGAGACCTGCGTCCCAGCTGCTGGCTGGAGGCATTTGCAGAGCGACCCAGCTGACCGGAAGTCCCTACAACAAAGCCAGAAGTCAAGAACAGCCACACGGCTCCTCCCCCCAGCTCCGAGAAGGGCTTCTTCACACCCTGCCAGGGGCTCCAGCTCAGCCACAGCGACAGTCGGTACTGCTCCGGGCACACAGGCCAAACATCTACAAACTCCTCGAGTCAGCCCTCCCCATCTTGCGGCGGATGGTGGGGCAGAACTCAGGCTGCGGGGGAGCTCAGCTCGCACCGGCTGTGGTGAGCCCCGTCCCAGGGTGAGCCCCAGGGCTCCGCGCCCCAGGTGCAGGCAGAGCTGTCAGTAATCCAATCCACCCCGCAACGCAGCAGCTGTGCGGGATGAACCCCGGAGCTGGCGCCCTCTAGTGATCAAATGAGAACAACACACCAACAGCCGACCTGCAGCAAACTTCAACTCAGAGCAAACATCATCCAGCGCAGAGAGGGGTCCAAAGAGAAACCCACAGATGGGTATTTTGTTTTGTTTTGTTTTGAAGATGTATTCAGTTTTCTTGGAAAATCAGATTTAAAGAGAGAATGAAATACAGAGAAAACCATCTTCCATCTGCTGGTTCACTCCCCAAATGTCTGCCACTGCTGGTGCTGCGCCGATCCAAAACCAGGAGCCTTCTCCAGGTCTCCTACGCGGGTGCAGGGTCCCAAGGCCTTGGGCCGTCCTCGACTGCCTTCCCAGGCCACAAGCAGAGAATGGATGGGAAGTGGAGCTGCCAGAACACAAACCGGCACCCATATGGGATCCCAGTGCTTGCAAGGTAAAGATTTAGCCACTGAGCCACCACACCAGGCCCAGTTTAGAATTTTTTAGAGGCTAGGCACAAAGCCAGATGAAGACGACACACTCAGGACACTCTTCACCACACTGGGGTCTCTAAGGTGTCATCAGGGGACCGCCCCCTCTCCCCAGGAGCTCATGTGGCTTGACAGCAAAGTGTGGCCTTCTCCATGACCTCCCCTGAGGACGCAGGAGGAAAAAAACACATCTGTGCCACCTTCCTCAACTGCAGCATGGACTTCACGTCTGGACACCGGCCCGAGTCCTGGCTGCTTCCTTCCCATCCAGCTCCCTCTGTGTGACCCTAATAGCTGGCAGGCATCCTGGGCCTGGTTAATGCCAATTGTGTGTGTGTGTGCATGAATGTTTATTTTTCTTAGAAAGGCAGATATATGGGGAGAAGGAGAAACAGAGATGAAGATGTTGTGTCCACTGGTTCACTCCCCAAGTGACCACAACGACCAGAGCTGAGCCGATTAGATGCCAGGAATTTCTTCCACCATGTCTCCGACACGGGTGCAGGGTCCCAAGGCTTTGGGCTGTCCTCACCTGCTTTCCCAGGCCACAGGCAGGGAGCTGGATGGGAAGCAGGGCCATGGAAATTAAAACCAGTGCCCACGGTCCGGCGGCATAGCCTAGCAGCTAAAGTCCTTGCCTTGGACGCGCCGGGATCCCATATGGGCACCGGTTCTAATCCCAGCAGCTCCACTTCCCATCCAGCTCCCTGCTTGTGGCCTGGGAAAGCAGTCGAGGACGGCCCAAACCTTTAGGACCCTGCGCCCATGTGGGGTACCCAGAAGAAGTTCCTGTATCCTGGCTTCGGATTGGCATAGCATTGGCCATTGCGCTCACTTTGGGAGTGAATCATCAGACGGAAGATCTTCCTCTCTATCTCTCCTCCTCTCTGTATATCTGACTTTCCAATAAATAAATTAAAAAATCTTAAAATAAAGGAACCAGTGTCCAGGGCCTAGCAGCGTGGCCTAGCGGCTAAAGTCCTGTCCTTGAATGTACCGGGATCCCAGTTGGGTGCCGGTTCTAATTCCAGCAGCTGCACTTCCCATCCAGCTCCCTGCCTGTGGCCTGGGAAAGCAGTCGAGGACGGCCCAATGCCTAGGGATGCTGCACCCAAAAGGGAGACCTGGAGGAGGTTCCTGGCTCCTGGCTCCAGATCAGCACAGCACCAGTCACTGCGCTCACTTGGGGAGTGATTCATCGGATGGAAGATCTTCCTCTCTATCTCTCTTCCTCTCTATATATCTGACTTTGTAATAAAAATAAATAAATAAATACAACTTTAAAAAAAAAGAGAAACAAAAACAGTGCCCAAATGGGACCCCAGGGCATGCAAGGCACCTGGCCCACCAATTCTGTATTAACTACATCGATGTGCCAGCAGAGTTGCCTTTTTTTAAGGACATGGGGCAATAGGGGGAGCAGTGCCATAACACCAACTGGAGCACCTGCCAGGGCCACCTCGCTGCCATCACTGCCATCCACACGTGGAGGGCTAAGGAGTTAGGGATAAAGCACATGGGGACACTGAAGGCATGTTCGACACATATGAAGTAACGTCTAGGGGCTTCCACGCACCAGGCCGTGTACAGCAGGTCAAAGGAGCTGGGTGAGGGGGCAGACTGGATGGGGAAATCTGAAGAGCCTCCCGGGTCCCACATAGTCGCTGGCATGCAGGAGCCAGGGCTAGCATACAACTGGGCCGAGCTTGGTAGCAGCACCTCCCAGTGCTTGCAGGAGCCATGTTCAGGGACAGGCCTGGCATGCATTCTTCGCAGTTACCCCGACTAGGCCGCAGCACCTGCTGAGGCACATGAGGGCTGAGGCTGGGGAGAAGCCTGGCTGCACTAGGACACAGAATCTACCTATAAGGGGTTAGGACTGGGCCCGGTGCAGCAGCTTAGTGGCTAAAGTCCTCACCTTGAACACACCGGTATCCCATATGGGCTCCAGTTCTAATCCCGGCAGCCCCATTTCCCATCCAGCTCCCTGCTTATGGCCTGGAAAAGCAGTTGAGGACGGCCCAAAGCTTTGGGACACTGCACCCACGTGGGAGATGCAGAGGAAGTTCCTAGATCTCGGCTTCGGATCGCGCTGATCTGGCCATTGCGCTCACTTGGGGAGTGAACCATCGGCCAGAAGATCTTCCTATCTCTCCTCCTCTCTGTATATCTGACTTTGCAATAAGTTAAACGAATCTTTAAAAAAAAAAAAAGGGGGGGGGGTGCTAGGACTGAGGGCAGGCCAGGCCAAGCCAGACTAGGCTGCTTCACCCAGCAACAAGAGCCACGCCTGGGGGCAGGCACGACCAGGCTAGGACGCATTACCTGCCATCAAGGGCTGGGAATAGGGGTGGGCCTGGCCAGGACAGCCTGTGGCACCCCTGGCACGTGTGAGAACCAAGACTGGGGGCAGGCCTGCTAAGGGTTCACTGGGATCCCCTAA